TGTATGTATGTATGTGTGTGTATGTGTGTGTGTGTGTGTATGTGTGTGTATGTGTGTGTGTGTGTGTGTGTATGTATGTGTGTGTATGTGTGTGTATGTATGCGTGTGTGTGTGTGTGTGTGTATGTGTGTGTGTATGAGTGTGTGTGTATGTGTGTGTGTGTGGTGTGTGTCCCAGAGCAGGTGTGACCACCTGCACAGGTGCAAGCTTGCTCAGGAGCAATGGCTTCTCTGTGGGAAGGGTTCCAGGTTAGTGCAGGCATTTCCCAGGGCTTGTGGAGGGGAGAGGGAGGGAGGGAGGGAGGGGCAGGCAGGCTGGCCGAGCAGGTGGCGCTCCACCTGTATCAGTCTGCTCATGGAGTCGCCCAAGCCAGGAGCAGGAAGCCGAGTGACTCAGGTGGCATTGGCTCACTGGACCCTCCCTTCCCCAAAAAACTGCTCGGCTGGGACCTGCTGGCAGTTGCCCAGGAGCTCCCACAAGACCCACTTCAGAGCACGCCCATGTCACAAGCCTGTCCTGAGACTTCACTGGTGGGGCTTGGGGCTAAAGGGGAGCAGTGTCCTAGGACTTCATTCTGGAGGGGCTGTAGTGGTTAAGAGGGACAGCCCAGGACAGACGTTCTCTAAAGAGGTCCAGAGCTCCTCTGGGCTCCCCTCCCCCACCCCCGACCTCTGGTATCTGGCCCTGGCCAGTACTATTTCTGTTTCCTCTATCTCTGTTTTCTTGTCTCCCTGTTTTCTTTCTGGCATTCCATCCCGCCCACATGCCTCACTGTGAAGTGTCATGCCTGTCGCTGGAGCTACCTCTGTAATTAGGAGCCTTCCTTGGCTGGGAGCACACCCACAGGCCCAGCTGTGGGCAGCATCTGGCCTCAAGGCTGCTCCCCAGAACGAAGTGCCACAAGGATGGCCGGGAGTGGGCCCACCCCACCTCCAGACTGCTCCAGCTCCAGCTGGAGTGGGGATCCCTCCAGCAGGGAGTTCAGAGACTTCCAAAGTCTTCTGCAGTCAGTGTCCCTATCTAGCCCTGAAGGGGTCATGCCGAACAAGCCCCACCCCCAACTTCCGTGGGCATGGGCCAGAGGACCTGCGGAGGCTCGCAGATCGATAATGAGTTTCCGAGCAAGAGAGCAATCTGTGAAATAAGCAACCCAGCACAAGAGAACCCCACAATGGCCCACAATAGCCAGCGAAGGCCAGGAAGGACTTTAGAATTCTCCCTCTGTCAGAACATGATAGCCCCAGGGAGAATTGTCCCCAGCCCCTGGGACATCTTCCTTGCTCTTTCTGCCTTTGGCCACAACACAAAGCTGCCTCAGCTCTACACGTGCATGAGGAGGCACTAATGTGTGTATCCCGGGCTGTATCCTTCTTTCCCCCTTGCCACAACTGAACTTGTAATGTCTTTGGCTTACCACCCACAAGTGCCAGGACCTTTGGGACAAGAGACATCGTGAAAGATTCATAGGCTTAGGACCATTTCCCAGGAACCTGGGTATGGACCAGGCCAGAGTCCATCCACCTAGCCAGTATTTGATTAAAGCTTGCTTCAAATTTGGAAAAAGAAAAGGAGAGAGAGAGAGAGAGAGATGAGAGAGAGAGAGGGAAGGAAGGAAGGAAGGAAGGAAGGAAGGAAGGAAGGAAGGAAGGAAGGAAGGAAGGAAAGAAAAAGAGTTGTAGGCTTAGAAGCAGAGTCCATGCTAGACAAGGAACGCCAGGGGCCAGGGTTTTTGGTACCCGGTGTGGAGTTGTGAGTTCTGTGCAGCCTTCTCTCCTCCTTGGCTCTGGGTGGAGACTCATAACCCCAGGAAGGCCAGGACAAGGATGAAAAGTCTGGGCTTTTAAAGGGTAGAACCCAGGACAGAAGGCCTCTTCCCTAGGCCTAAGGATGGCTCTGCACCCGGAGTGATAGATACACATGCCCATGATGCCTTTAGATTTTAACGCTGCCTTTGATTCAGATCTGCCCAGAAAAGCTTCAGCTGTTGGTAGCTGGTTTTCTTTGTTACTGTTAGAAAAGCCAGGGTGGAGGTCCCTGCTTGATTCAAAAGTAAGCCTGCCTTATCCTTTCTACCAGTGGCCATCTCTTAGGCCACCTGAGGCTGAAGAAAAGGTCTCTGTGTGCGTGTGTGCGTGCGTGTGTGTGTGTGTGTGTGTGTGTGTGTGTGTGTGTGTGTGTGTGTGTATTCTATAGTTCCAAATGACTGCCATCCATCAGGAGGCTGTCCACAGCATAAGGATTAAGTTCAAATAAAGAACAGAAACCCAGGCTGGTGGGATGGCTCAGTGGGTAAAGGTGTTTCTGTGTAGACAACCTGACAACCCGAGTTGAGTCTCCAGAACCCACATAAAAATAACAGGAATTGTCCAACCAACTCCACAAAGTTGTCCAACCTTCAAGGGCATGCTGTGTGCGACACACCCACCCATCATGTATACTACAATAATAATTAGGAAAGAAGAAGAAGAAAGAACAGAAACTCTCCTTATATGGCCCAGAGGCCTATGGAACACGAGAGAGAAATGACATCAGCCAGGGAGGTGGCCGGGCTGTTCTGGACACTGTCTGATTAATGTTCACCTTTGCCTTGAAGAGGCTCCCAGGTGCACAGTCCCTCCTCTTTATCGTTGGTTTCTGTCTCCAGGGGAGCGCGGGATGGGCCAGTCGGTGCCCTGTTACTCCGGACTCTGAAGCTCCAGAAAGCTGCAAGGTTGAGTTAATCAGTTACGTCTTGGTGGTCCAAGGATTTCACTCCTACTGAGCTCCAGGCAAGAGAAATGAGGTTAAACTGCAGGGCCATGAGTTGGAGCTAGACATCAGAAGAAATGCACCACTGTCAGAAAAAGGAGACAAGGGCATTTGCTATAAGGGAGACTGGAAAATTTCCCTTTTTTGGAGATCTGTCAAATACTAAAATTCTTGCCTTTAAAGGCTGGGAAGCAGAAGATTGGGTAAGATGGCCTTGTGGCCTCTCCTTCAAGTTCAAGCTGCAAAGGAGGCCATGGTCACAGTGGTGCTCGGCTCTATTCCAAAGTACATCCCTCCCCACCAGGAGACCAAATCCCATATGCAGATGGCTGATTCCAGGAAAGAGTGTTTTCTGATTCCCTTCTGTATCCTCAGATGCAGGCGAAGCCCCGGTGCTTGGCAGGCACATAGTAGGAGATTAGGAAACACACAGGAAATCCATCCATCTGGGAGGAGCTGGCCCTGCTTTTCACAGTGGAGCCTCCACCCGCGGGTTTAGCTTTGGCCTCCAAGACGTGCTGTGGCTTGTTACATACTAAGACAAGCAGGGGTGCGTTCTGGAGGTACACAGAGCTTATTCAGAAGCCCCAATCCCTCCCCCCAATTCCACCTAGGCTTGCTACAGCCCTCCCCACACCCCTCCCCTGCTGCCGGTTGGCTGAAGGGCTCGGAGCGGAGCAGAGAATCCTGCGAGGGGTTTAGAAGTGGTGTGTGACTGGGTGGGCGGACTGGGAGGAGGGTGGAACCTGGCAGAGGCATCAGCTTGAGATGGTGAGCTAGCGCTTCCTGAGCCCTGGGCTGATCACTGCTTTATACGTGGAGGGTGGCAAGTAGGCAGGTGGGGGCAGGGATTAGGTGGAGATAAAGATCCCCAGGTAAACTGGAAGGGGTGGGGGTCAGGGAAACAGCGTAGGGGAGTGGTCCTGGCAACCTGGCATGTGTAGCTGCAACTGGATCTGGGATGTTGCTATCTTTCTGACCCTTCCAGGAAGACTTATTGGATGGAAGAGAACAAGTTAAACCTCATTCCTTTCCCTGTTGGGGAACTGTAGTCAAAGAGACTGTTAGGATACCTTCATCTGGAGTTATTTTAGCCCATAAGCTCTCGTGTGTGTGTGTGTGTGTGTGTGTGTGTGTGTGTGTGTGTGTGTGTGTGTGTGTTCAGGAAATCCTTTTCTAAACAGCCACTCTCCCGACTCCCACCCACACAGGCTGTTTAGTCTTGTCACTCTGTAAGCTTTCTGAGAGTTGGGATACTTTTAATTTTCTGTGCAGCCAGGGTCTAAACTGGCCCCTAGCATAGCATACAGTTGGTGCTCAGTACTTGTGTTGAATGAATGGACCCATGCAGGACCCTGGGTTCATGGTGCAGCTACAACAGCACTCATCTCGTCAACCACAGGAGGGAATACCCACGTCTTCCTAAGTTGTCTGTTTGGAGTTCTTTCGGATAGCTAGCCAGCCTTGCCCACTATGGAGGGGCTTGCTGCCCCCTTTTGTTTAGGCCTGTGTGTACTTTCTTTCCATCTAATGTCCAACTTTCCTCCCAAGCTCCCCAAAGCTTCCTGACACCGTCATGTAATCTTTGATGGAATCGCTGCTCTTTAGTCTGTTTCTCCCTGGGGTGTTATCCACCCCACACTCACACACGTTGACCCTTCTCCTGCTCTGCTGCTTAGGAGTCAAACTATTTTTCTGGGATTTGGTAGGACTTGAAATAAGAAGGCGTTCTAGTTTGGAGTGCACCATATTTCCTAGACTTGTGACCTCTTTGAAGCTTCGTTTTTACATTCATTACATTTTATTTTCTTTTATCTGTGTGGCACCTGTACCAAGGTGGGAAAATGGAGGTCAGAGGACAACCTGTGGGACTCCATTGTCTCCCTCCTCCAGGTATCAAACTCAGGTTGTCAGGCTCGTACAGCTGAACTGTCACTCAAGTCCATTAAAAATATTCTCTTAATGCAGATCATTTTGTTGCTCCAATTTTTTTTGTTTAGTTGTTTTGTTTTGTTTTTTGTTTGTTTGTTTGTTGTTTTGCGAGACAGGGTTTCTCTGTGTATCAGCCTTGGATGTCCTGGAACTGGCTCTGTAGACCAGGCTGGCCTCGAACTCAGAGATCCTCCTGCCTCTGCCTCCTGAGTGCTGGGATTAAAGGTATGCAATACTACCTCCCTCCAACAGTTTTCTTTTTTTTTTTATTTTATCCCCGGAGCTGAGGCACGAACCCAAGGCCTTGCTCTTGCTGGGCAAGCGCTCTACCATTGAGCTAAATCCCTGCCTCCAACAGTCTTTAAGAACTGTCTCGAACTGACCATATCATTGGTTTAAATTCTGACATTGCTCAGCTGTTTAAGTACACCACAAAGCTTACTTCATTTAATCTCCAACCTAAGATAGATAAAGCTAATGAACCCACTTTACAGATGAGAAGAAACAGGGTGAAAGGTGAACTAATTGGCCTGAGGTCATACAAAGATTAAGGGGAGAACCCAAACCCAGGCTAATTCTAAACAGAAGGAACACTCTATTTTTTGTAGAGGGGAGGAATCCCAACCTAGCACAAAGCCTATGAAATGCTTTACAAACATCTTATTACTACGTTGGGGCAAGAATGAATAAGCCTGACGCTGAGTTGGCTGGCCAGTGAAGGCGTCAGTCCTTTCCCATGCCGCCCCCTGACTCACCTGTTGGACAGGTAGGGGGAAGGGGAGAGTAATGAGTCTTACCTGCTCAGGGCTAGGGTGGGGCAAGGCACGCCCCACCTGTTCCATTGGCTTTTTCCTCAGTCTTACTGACAGCCCCCTGTCCAATCATAAGGAAGAAACTTTCTGTTTGCCAATAGATGCAGAGTGAGGATGAGACCTCAAGTTGGCGTCCACCCCAGAGCCGACTGGCAGTCCCTGGGGCCAATGGTGAGCGCATAAACAGAGGCGGCCGTGGTAAAGGTCCGCGCGCGAGGCCCCGCCCCTCGATGGGATAGTCAGGCGGGGCAGCCAGTGAGCTCGCCTCCGCGGGTGGGAGTCTCCCTAGGGGGCGGAGCTTCGAGGGGGCGAGAGGTGTGGCTTGGCTGTCAGGTCCCTTTGCCTTTTGTTCGGTTACTGAGTTGCTGCCTTGGCCAGAGTCCGGAGCAGCCGCCGCCCGAGCGCGCCGAGCTCAGTTCGCTACCCGCGCCGGCTCCCTCCCGGCCCAACCCCGACCCGACTCGGCCTGGCCCGGCTCCGCGCTCAGGTACATCCGATCGGGGTACGTATGTATCACTGTGGGCAGAGAAGGGACAGTCAGCGGCAGAGGCGGGTTCCAGACGTCTCAGGGCAGGTGAGGGCGGGTGCTAGGGAGCGCACCCTGCACCGGCGACAGGGGGCGCGCTGGGGTCCTGGGCGCGTTACCCTTGGGACAAGCGATCCGGGTTGGAGCGCCCCACCAGGCTCCATGAACCGCAGGTCTGAGAAGGGCGGGGAGGAACTAGGGCAGGTGCTTCGGAGTTCGCGCCTCCCCCAGGGCCCGAGGAGCTTGCCCGACGCGGCGTCCCCGACTCTCGGCCCGAGCTGACGGGGCAGACTTTGACCCGCTCCACCTGGTCCTGGAGCTCAGGGTGACAGGATTTTACCGCTCGGGAAACTTGCTGCCTAGTCTCTTTGGGGCCACCCTCACCCCACCCCACGCGTCATCCTCGCTCTCCCTCCCTCCCCACTCCCCCAGGCCTGGGTGGGGCCCTATTGTCTGCGCCCAGCTTACCCAACTGTGGGGGCCGAGTGCACATTTTCCCAGAGACGCGGTCCCCACCTGCTGAACGGAGCAGGTGAGCTCTTGGAGGACTGAGGCCCTGGCCTTCAGCTCGGGGCTGTACCTGTGGCGCCTCCCTCCGCACATAGCCGTGCCTTCTCCTACCGAGGTGGGATGGGGTGACGGAGAAACTGGTAAAGAGTCTGGGCTCGGTGCCCTACCGATGTCAGACGCTGGTGGCTTGGCCTGGAGTCTGGGCCAGTGGAGAGAATTAAGAAGCGTTCGCCCCGTTTTCAGTAGCCGTGTTTTCCAGAGTGTTGATAGGGAAACAGCGATACCTTTTTACTTCGGCAACCATTACTGCTGAGAAATCCCTCGCAACAAACTTTCCAGGAGAAAGTAGCCATGGTAGCCTTCTCTGGGGTTTTCCTGTCCTCTTGCTCAGAGCTGATTCCAGGCTTGGGGATGGATGCCTCTCGGAGGAAAGCCCCTTCCCCCAGCCCGGCTGAGCATGGGCCAGTGCCTGCGCTTTGACCCTGTTCTCCCTGCCCCCACCTCCATCCTGTTTGCTAGGCCCCTAAGGCCCGAGGTGGAGACCAATGTGGGGGGGGGGTGGGCGGGGGGGATGCAGAAAGAGGAAGTGTCTTCTTCCTTTCACCTCCTCCGGGGACCACCATACCCCCTTATATGAGGCCTGCTAAGTGCCTCTCCCTCCCGAGCTCTCTGCCCCTTCCCCAGGAATGGGGGGTGGGGCAGGGCTGGGCCAAACTGAAAGATTGGGAGGGTGTTAGTCTTTCCTCGCCCCCCCCCCATTCCATTCCCCATTTTATTTAGCTGGCTGACAATTGAGGCGGGAGGGCATAGGGCCGGAATGTTGCTTGCCATTCTCTGGGTTTCTAAATTATGAAGGTGCAGAGTATCGCCTGAAGTCCCTTCTCCACCCACCCTTTTCCTGCGTGTTTGGCGAGGAAAGTGGGACAGGAGGAAGTCTTTACTGTGGAAGGCTTCTTCCGTGCCAGGCACCCTCAGGCTGAACAGTGTGAGCGAGCGGCCTCCCTCTCCTTGTCCCCGGAGCGCTCAGAGCTGTCTCTGGCTGGAATTGCGAACTTCTACTAGGCTTCTTGCACTGGTTTTATACAAATCTGAAGTGTGGTCTTTACATAGGTATTTGGAGCTCAGCCTCCTTGGGGGATGGAGCAGGAATGCCAGGGCTAGCCTGGGGCAGGGCGAAGATGGGGCGAGGGAGGGTCATCCGGGCTCTGACTCACCTGGGAAGCCTTGACACTTGGTTGTGGAAAGGAGAGTGGAGATCAGACCCTCTCCCCTGGAGTAAGCCCTTAAGTGGGGATCAGACTCAGTCCTGTGGGTGGTAAAGCATGGGTGACCACCTCTAGGGAGCACCAGGGGCATGGAGTTTAGGCGCAGGCAACCTGTCTTTCCTCCTCTCTGTGCCAAGGTGGAGGAGGGGAAGGTATTGTAATTACGTGAGCTAAATGATTAGTTTAGCTAATCTGGTTTGTGGCTGTGATGAAAAGACAATACTGAGGAAGTATGTCTAGGAGGTGCCTGGCCCAAGCTGGCTTCTGACTGGACAGGAGGGAGGGAAGAGAAGGTAGGGATCCGATTAGTCATTTCTTGCCAGATCAAGTCTGGGCTTGGGTGACGGGAGCCTCCCCCGCACCCGGGCTCCACCCCGTTCCCTCTGGAGCCGCTGCCGTCTGGCCTGCTAGGGTTGAGCTTGGAGAATGCAGCCTGTGGGAACGGAAGGTCAAGCGGAGGGAGCCTGGTGGGCTGTTTTCCTTCCTGGGGGCCCACGGGCCATTGCACCCAGGAGAGGAAGGTCTGTCCCCGTGCACAGCTACTTTAGAACCAGGTGACACATTTGGCTGGTGCCCAGGAGAACGGTGACCCAGAGAGACAGTCTGAGCACTGGGGCATGGACTTGCACTGACCTGGCCTGTGTCCCTGAGCAGTGTCTCCTTACCTGGGTTAAGGTACCTTGCCTTTTTGAGGCTCAGCGACCTCTTTGGCAAACAGGAACAATAAGTCCGTCTACCCAGTAGGTACTTGACTGATGGTAACGCCAAGCCGGACGACTGTATGGTACCAAGCCCTTTCACTGGGGTCCTCACAAATCATGCTCGCCTTACAGCAGGTGTGGTTAATTCCGTCCGCAGAAACGCAGAGAAGGGTAGGAAGCTGCCCAGGGTTGCACAGCCAGACTCAAGGGAGCCTTCTTCTCTAAGCTCAGACCTCGTTCTGCTGTTTGGCGCCACTGCAACTGGGGAAGGATTTCCTTTTTCTTTCTCATCTTTCTTTTCTAAGGATCAAATCCAAACTAGGCAAACTCTTTCCCATGGAGCCCCATCCTCAGCCTCTGGATGGGACCAGCTCTCCCCTCCCCGTTTTCCTTTCTTGACAGAGTCTCATGTAGCCCAGGCTAGCCTCTGAGGTTGCCCTTGAGCTCGCTCTTTCTTTCTTCCTTCCTTCCTTCCTTTCTTTCTTTCTTTCTTTCTTTCTTTCTTTCTTTCTTTCTTTCTTTCTTTCTTTCTTTCTCTCTCTCTCTCTCTCTCTCTCTCTCTCTCTCTCTCTCTCTCT